AAAAAAAAAAAAAAAAGAACTGAACTATTTTGGGGAGGGGATTAAATCCATTATGCGAAAGTCTTTGGGAATGGTATTTTAACTTTGGCTTCTCCTAGTTGTGTTGGGGGAGAGAAAGTAGGGTTAATGCCTAATTATGTAGTTATTTCTATAATGTGGTTACAGAGTCATTTCTTTACCTATGTTCTCTCCAGACCTACTCCATAGAAGCTTGAAAACAGAAAACCATATCCTAGCCACAGTTATTCCAGCTCTGTATACGTTTAAGCCCAGAGTTTTCTTATGGTTCCAGCCAGGGCTGTTGAGTCAGACTAACTGGGTTTGAATTCTGGTCCTGCCATTGAGTAGATACTTGAAGTTGGGCAAGCAACTTGATCTTGCATTAGCAACTTGACCTCTCTCTGGCTTCCTTTTCCTCATATTAAAATGGAGTTAATTTTAATATTCATCTTCTATGTAAAGTGCCTAGTGCAGTGCATTTCACATAGTAAATATTCGATCAATATTGGCTATTGATAAGTGCTCAAAAAGTATTTATTGGAAAGAATGTATTAAGGGGAAAGAGAGAGAATTGTCACAAAGAAGAAAGCCATGACTCTTTCTCAAACCACTCCAGCTCCTGCTGGTCTCAACATTTCAGATATTCTAGCATAATTTATCAGGCTCATGGAAGCAGAAGAATTCTATTGTCACATGAAATTTACATATATAAGGTGTGATCTGCTCCAAAAACCTAGGATACAAATTTAGTCACGTTACTCCCCCACCCCCTTCCCCAATTAATACCTATGGTATACTCAGATATACCATAAAAAAAAGTCTAGAGTGGGCTTCCCTGGTGGCGCAGTGGTTGAGAGTCCTCCTGCCGATGCAGGGGACACGGGTTCGTGCCCCGGTCTGGGAGAATCCCACATGCCGCGGAGCGGCTGGGCCCGTGAGCTGTGGCCGCTGAGCCTGCGCGTCCGGAGCCTGTGCTCCGCAACGGGAGAGGCCACAACAGTGAGAGGCCCGCATACAGAAAGAAAAAAAAAGTCTAGAGTGTCCACCTTTGTCCAGGAATGCCTGGGGCTTAATCAGTTGAAAGGGGTCAGAGTGCTCTCAAATGCCAAGTGGGGCCGAGATGGCCTGGCACTGTCTTACACTTCCTGCCGCTCCACCTCAGTGGATGGGCCTGCAGCTTCCCCGGGGCGGCACCCAGCTAGAGCCCAGCTCAAGGTCCTGGCTTGGTGATGACTGTTCTGAGACCACAGTCAGAGGACCGGCACTGCTGTCCAGGATGCCCAACTGCTATGCCACGGCTGTGTCAGCCAAAGCCGCAGGTCTGCGGGCCACGCCAGCCGTTGCAAAGCCCATACGCCCTTTTCTCAGAAACTGGGCTATCAACCTCGATATCTCTTCTCCCCTTAACCACAACTTATTTTTAGGATTATTTCACCTATGCAGATGTGTCCGCCTGTGCCCCCGCCTGTGAGTTTGCCAGGGCCGTCACACAGAGCTCCACAGACTTGGCCGGTGGGGGAGCTTAAATAGCAGAAATTTATTTTCCACAATTCTGGAGGCCGCAAATCTGAGAGAAGGTGTTGGCAGGTAGGTTGCTTCTGAGGCCTCTCTCCTTGGCTTGCAGATGGCCGTCTTCTTCCTGTGTCCTCATGTGGCCTTGTCTCCAAACACGGTCACATTCTGAGTTACTGGAAGTTAGGATTTCATTGTTGGGTATTTGGGAGCGGGGGCACAGTTCAGCCCACGACACCAACAACTGACTACCTACTTAGGATGTAAGTTAACTTGTTCAGTGAGAGAGATGGAGAGAGAGAGATGGAGAGAGGTGTGTACCCAGGGAGGCCTCTCCAGGCTACTTTCCAGGACAATAGGTACCATGCTTTCCTTACTAAGTGGACAGTCAAGGGCTGTCCAAACATTTACAGAGCACCCTACCAAACCCAGGAGCTCTCTGTAGAACAGAGGACCCCAGAGCTTCTCTGGGAGAAAATGGGAGTGTGGTCAAGACCCCTTCACCCTCTCCTCAAGGAATCACCTCTGACCAGTACCGTGTAAAACCCCATCCTGGAGGATTCCAGGTGTCCCGGCTCCTTCTGTTACTTTTTCACAACGACATGCTTCACTGCGGTTTGCATCGGTATGTATGTTATGTCTGCCGATCCTTAACTTTGGGAGCATAACTCTGCGACTCACATTCAGCCTGGCTTCGCTCCACGGTCCGGATAAGCCTGAGACCTGCAGACACCCTGGCTTTATTTTTCCCCTTGGCTTCTTTTCGGAGACGGGCTGGTTAATCGCCCTGCTCAGCTGTGACACCCAGAAAAGCAGAGACAGGAAAGTCAGACACGGCCTCCCCTTGACCTGTTTGCACACACCAGACCAATAAAGTGCGGGCAGAATGACAGTGACAGCTGCCCCGTGGTGTTCAGAGGGACCCGAGAGGTTCAGTTCTGCAGCCTCAGGGACAAGGGTATCATTACAGCCCGGCTGCTCCGAGAGAAGCCACTTCAACCCAGCCTGGAAGACGGGCGGCTCTCGGCGGCGCAGCTAGACATCTGGGACCCCGAGGACCAGGCATCTGGGACCCTGAGAGCCGGGGATCTGGGACCTCCCCCCAAGTCCTACTCACCCTGCGGCACCACCGGCCACGGCTCCCATCACCCGATCGGCTCCCTGCCGGGCTTCAGCAGCTGGGCTGGGAGCCCATCCCCACCTGCGGCGACAGAGGGGCACGAGGAAGGCAGGTAAATGGGGGCCAGGCAGTCTGGTGCCCGCTGCAAGGACAAGGGCCTCCCGGGGCGGGGCGTCCTGCGGGGGAGGCAGAAGTTCTCCCCGTGGGACGATGCTCTGGTCTCGGGGAGGGACCCGCGGTGTCTGCTGAAGCGGGGCCTGCGGCACGTCAGTTTCAGCCTGGTCACCAAGGGCATGACAGATGCTCCCGACTTCCTGTGGAGCCTGTCAGAGGTGCAGAAGCTCAACCTGTCCCACAACCAGCTCCGGGCCCTCCCGCCCGAGGTGGGGAAGCTGACAAGGCTGGTGGTCTTGAACTTGTGCGGGAACCGCCTGAAGACCCTGCCCCGGGAGGTCAGCCTCCTCCAGAGCCTCAAGGTCCTGTTTGTGCACATGAACTGCCTGACGGAGCTGCCGGCAGAGCTGAGCGCCTGCCGGAACCTGGAGGTCCTGAGCCTGTCGCACAACTTCCTGTCCCAGCTCCCCGCCAGCCTCGCCGACCTCTCCCGGCTGCGCAAGCTGAACCTCAGCCACAACCGCTTTGCGCACATCCCTGTCTGCGTGTTCTCGCTCAGGGAGCTGGACTTCCTGCACGTGGGCTCCAACCGCCTGGAGAACATTGCCGAGAGCATCCAGTGCCTGGCCAGCCTGCAGATCTTCATTGCCGAGAGTAACAACATCCACACCTTCCCCCGCTCCCTCTGCCTGCTCACGAGCCTGGAGCTGCTGAACTTGAACGACAATGACATCCAGACCCTCCCCGAGGAGCTCTACCTGCTGTGCAGACTGGCCAGGATCGCTTGGAACCCCATGGACAAAGGGCTTCACATTTCCCACAACCCTTTATCCAAACCTCTGCCCGAGCTGCTGGAGGGGGGTCTGGAGATGCTCTTTAGCTACCTGAAGGACAAAAAACACACCTGACGTGGGCGCCGGAGACACCAACAGACTTAGCCGGGTACTTTCCTGGTCTAAACCTTCTCCTCTTCCTGTTTCTGTGGGTCGATGCTTGTGCTATTATTTGCTAAATCACACTGAACGCCCCTTCTAAGGAGGCGTTTGCTTTTAGCTCTGTATGTTCTTAATAACCCGCATAATACTATGTTCATCTCCTTCTAAACATTAATTGAAAGAGGACTTGGGTTTTCCCCAAAGAGAAATAATTCTGATTCTTCTGGGGAGCGGTGGGATTCAGCCTTTGGAAGGGAGGACAGCAGGTCTGATTCAAAGTCAATCAAAAGTGAAATATTTGCTAAGTATGTGCAGTGGGCCAGGTACGATATAGGAGGCATTGACACCATCTGGTTTCAGCCCCTGAATTGGCAACGTGGGTAGCAATGGCAAGACATGCTCCCACCTCAGCCGCCATCAAGCATCACTTGGGACCAAAGAGCAAGCTGGGGCCCTGCCCTCCCGGTAATGACCAAATCAGCCAGAGCTTCCCCACGAGTCCCTGGGGGAAACAGCCACAGGAACTTTGCCTCCAGAATGACTGTTGGGTAACAATCCAGCCGCTCATGCTGACGTCTGGTGGTGAGTGACGGGGGTACAGAGTGATGGCTTTCAGAGAATAAATACAAACGAAAGCTAACATTCAGTGTCCACCTTCTTTCCCAATCCTCCTCTTGCACTCACGGTCACATCCTTGAGCTTTTCTAGAGACACTTGCCAGTGGTTACATTATCCTTTAATAATTTCATTATTCCTCCCGTATACATTTGCCTTCTCAGAGATGAGCTAATAATAGGGGAAAAAATGGCCAAAAGGCAGGAAGGAGGAGGTAAGGCAAAGACAGGCCACCCAAAAAAGTCATTACCTTTTTCACATTCAGAGAAGGGGGATATTTGCCACTTGGCTTTCCCATATGGACATTTAAAGATGAGTTTGCAACACGCAAAACTCTTTAGACAAAAGGATCTGTAAAAATATGGTTTGTTTTGTTTTTAATTCTGAGAGTACACAGCTGTCAGTTAAATGCAGAATCAGGACGAGGAATTACAGAGCTCCTGCCACGAGAGTCCCTGAACCTCACTGTTGTCACAGCAGCCAAGAGCCCCTGAGACATCACTATGTGGTGACAGTTCAAGAATTAGAATGAAAAGGTGGCAGTGAACCTACAGTACCTTCAGATCAGTGGAAGTCCAAGCATTCGGGTTTCCTGGCACGTTTGTTTACAGGACACAACGAATAATAGCAAGACAGGAACGGGGGTTGCTGCTAGGATTTATCTAACTTCCTACTACCCTTAGTTTAATTCAGTTAAATTTATATTGATTAGCACCTTCCCTGGGCAAGGACCTCGAGAGGAATGACGCTCAGCTCCTTCTACCAAGGAGCTCAAAGTCTGGTGAAAGAGACAGACCCACGTGGGTTTCCACAATGTGGCAAGTTGTGATCCCCACTAAAGAGAAAGGACTGAAGCAAAGATAACACACTAGATGGCGTAGAGCAGACTGAGTCCCGGGTTTCAGAAACCAAAGGACACGATCAGGATGAATCAGTCAAACCCCCATTCTAGCAGTCGTCTCACCCTAATTCCCCCTTCTGCCTTCACCCCATGTGGGGAAGGGCCACAAAGCCTGGGGCAGTGGGTGGCTCTTTCTCAGGTTGACTCAGGCAGCTTTAGTATGGGGGACTGCGGTCTTACGTCTTCTAAGGGCTGCTCAAGGCGGGGGCGGGGGGGCGGGGGCTGGTGGTGGTCCATGTAACTTATTCACAGGACAAGTGATTTTTCCAGCAGACCCCAACATCAATTTCCCATCCAGCAAAGAAGGCAGCCAATTCCTGCCTTTACCATCAGACACCATCGTTCCATGAGCACCTTAGTGCATGAGCTCTTGTGTTGAACCACTGCAAACAGATCTTACCAGTGTCACTGGGAGGCAACTGCAGTCCCCTCCAGAGCCCCCTCCACAGCCCCCTCCAGCAGCAACCGGAGACCTGCTTATCCCCGCCAGGCACACACAGGCACACTCAGTAACCACACCCACGTTTGCTTGTTGGAGCCAAGACTATTTAAAGACATCAGAGGAATTCTTACTTGATCTCATGACTCAGTGGGAAATTGTGGGACGCACCTTCCTCTGCAGAGCAGGACTGAGGCTGGAGCTGGAGCCCATATATGCAGCTGTCACACAAACACCACTTGTGCCAGGATCGCGCTCGTGGTGTCTGCTGCTGAAGACCCACTTGGGCTCACGCTGAATTTCCATGACCTTTGCTCTGGCAGAGAGGCAGGCTGGAACACCACCATCACGCTTTTCCTGCTGAGCAATCATTTTATTTCTTCTCCTTGCTTTTTCAGTCACTTGATACCTCACAGTAACTCTATTCCAGGGAAAGAACGTAAGCATATTTTGAAGGTGACCCAAGAGCTTATTATACTTCTTGAGGAAAAAGTGCTCTCAATGTGGTTGCCAGCATCTATTGGTGCCTTTCAGAGTATAGAAGCGAGGTTTTCTTTGTTAAAGCTCGGCATTGAGGACATCATAAAAGTAATTGCAGCTGCCTGATGAACTTTAGATATTGATTCTTTGTGAATGCTCCTTTTTATCGATAAAGGGAAGTGCTGAGCAAAAACCTGGCTAACGAGCTTGGTTATTCAAAACATTAACGTGGAGGGAATTTGACACAATCCTGGGTGTCTGCTCTCAAATCCTGCAGTTTGCTGACGGGCTGTGAAATGCTTTCTGCTTATCTTTTGTAGTTCTGATACTGCCACATTCAAATAACTCCCAGGTATTTCTAAGGCTTCCAAATCAAAGCATTGAGGCTCACTGCATTGGCTGAGGAGTACGTTTAGCAAAAGAATACGAGCTAATTGGGTGCTTGATGTGGGGAGCTGGCTGTTCACATCCTGATGATGGGTTGGTTTGCATATCACTGGGCCCTCTGTAAGGAAGGATCTCAGTGGTGTGTTCAGAGACACCTTTTGAAGCAGCTTACAAGCATACAATTAAGAAATCCTCTGTTCCTAGGAAAGGAAGACAGCTTTGAAAAGACACATCTGTTCAAAGAATAATACCGCTAAATGCATAAAACTGCTGCACATTAGAAAGAAGAGTGTCGTCATTAGTTACTTGTTGACTTAATAAATGGTTAATAGTAGAAATGGGCTCCATTCTCAGGCTTTAGTTAATGCACTGCGTCTCTATATTAACCAGAGAGACAATCAGGGTGCACGTGTACTTCACAGCCAGGCATGCCTGCAAAGAGATGGAGAGGGAAAGCTGTCATTATTGGCAGGGATACTTTAAACCCTTTTCTTGTGGGAATGGATTATTGCATTTTAAAATTCCATTTCCTATGCCTCAAAGCACAGACTGAGTATGCATGTGGATGGCTATGCATTGCACACAGAGGAAGATGAAAGCACTGTGGGCTTGGTCACTGGAAGACGATGCAGGTATCAACACCCTGAGATGACCAGGGTGAGTGAGGCTCAAAGCTGGGCTGGGGTGCCTCTCATCAGTAACATACATCGGTGAGGGAGAGTCTGGACAAAGTCCAGACTTTCACTACAAACAGTGAAAAACAGAAGATGAGTTCAGGAAATGGTCTCTTTTAAAAAAGCAAACATTAAATCTGTTAGATTTTAGCTAATAGGAAGATACTACTCCATGACTCCATCAATACCTCCTTAAGTATCCACATGTATTCTATCTTCTTATCCCACCAAAGAATTATTTTCAGCACTGTGTGTTTCTCTAGAAACACAAAACCCCCAGCCTAGATTAAATGTGCAACTAAGTACTGGTACCCATGATGTAATTATAATTAATCCAAGAGCATAAAAATACAACTTTTCATAGATTTTAAGAAAATGAAACAAAATTCAGAGGAACATGAAAGCTATTATAAACAATAATGGGAACAGTCTTGACCTTGTTGAGAAAAGAACTTTTGACGAGTGTTCCTTTGATGGTACCCATCAAGTTATATGTTGAATCCAAAGCATTACTAATTAAAAAAAAAATGACAGCATAGTAATAAAAGGGAAGCAGAGAGGGCTCATAATGAATCTGTAAGAGCTTGGGCATCATTAGGCGAGCATAACTGAAAGCTATTAGCATCAAGCTTGCTATGCAGATTTTTTTTTTAAACATCTTTATTAGAGTATAATTGCTTTACCAGATTTTTTTTAGTAGTGTCGTAGGCATCTATTTGCAAGGAGAGAGCTTATCTCCCATTGCTTAAACTTACTTCTCTTTTTTTTTTTAACTCTTTATTTTATATTGGAGTATAGCCGATTAACAATGCTGTGATAGTTTCAGGTACACAGCAGAGACTCAGCCATACATATACATGTATCCATTCTCCCCCAAACTCCTACTGTCTAGGACAGGGAACTCTGCTCAATGTTATGTGGCAGCCTGGATGGGAGGGGAGTTTAAACTTACTTCTTATTTCAGCACAGGACAGAAAATGAAAGGGAACTTGAGTCCATCAGGAAAGTGTCAAAGTATTTCTGGACACTCTGGAGAGAAGCGTACATTATGAAATTCACAGGACTACTAGCTTCTGCAGAAGGAGCTAGAGCAGCCTATGGAACATCATAGAGTCCCCCATATTCTTTGGTCTTCAGCGACTTGAGTTCCCCAGAAGAGCCAGGACATGCCACTGGGGGCAAATCCACACTCCAGCCTCAGTGGCTTCTTTGGTGTTGCTGGTTCTCTGATTGCAAAGCCACTGGAATTTGTCTTCTTGGCTGACTTAGATCTTCGCATCCAGCTTAGGGAAGAGATTCAATCATAATGCATTCATTGAATAGATGAGAAAGTGAACGAGTATGTACAGGTGACTTCACCTGTCCAGGCCTCAGTTTTCTATAAAGTGAGGCGACTGAATTCACTTTAAAGTAAACTCACTTTAAGCCTTTTTTAGCTTTGAAATTCAGACTGTATTTTTTTTGTCTTTCCCTTGTC